AGGGAAAGATCCAACGAAGAAAAGCCCCTCTATTATGAGATGTACAAAGAGCTGATGACTCCCAGCCAAGCAAGTTTATAATTGCATTTTTGTTCAATTTCAATTTCTATTGAGAATATTTAAAATTAGCTCTGCCTTTTTAAATGATTAGGATGTGATTTTTTTCCAATGACTTCAAATTTTTAATATTGTACAGCCACAAAGGGAAGAATCTGCCTTATAATTATTAATTTTTCTGCATTGCTTAACTATGAAATTAGACTTTTAATTCATTTCCCTGAGTCAACAGGGCAAAGAAGAGTATGAAGTATTGATATCTAGCTATCTATTTTCAGTTACCTAGAAAATAACATGTGTGTGTATATGTATGTGTATGCACATGTGTGTGGGGGGGGGAGAGAGAGAGAAACACTCAACTTCATGACCCCTGGATCCATTGATAAAGATGAAGTTTCTGGGAATTTCTTACAACAAGGTGAAATTCTTAACTGATTGGTATTTCTATCTCATCACTGACCTTCCATAGATTACATAAGGAAAAGCATCAACCTAGAGCTTGTCCTCAAAGTTCAGTTTAAGTGTCATGTGAATATATACATGAATATTTATGTGTGTATATATATAGGAATATATACATGAGCACATTTTTATAAATAAATGTGCAGTTTCTAAAAAGAATAAATAATTCTTTATAAAAATAATAAAAATAATAAATGTAAAAATTTTAGTTGAACATTGGTCGTATGCCAGATTCTATGTAAAATGGAATAAAATTGAGTTGGGGAGGATTATTTTTATTTATAACCACACTGAGACCCAGGAAGTATTTTGACTGTTTCAGGGTTTAAATATGATCCCTTTATATAGTTGTTCATGTTGTCCATTATATAAAAGTTCCATATACAGTTGTTCATGTTTCCATTATATAAAGGTCCCATTGTCATCATTTACATCATAGGAATATGCTAACTTATGTAACAGGTGAAAGACAAAATGGAAGATTTTTGGCTTCCAGGTTAACTGCTTGAGCAGGGAGAATCCCTTCTCAAGAGATTGTTTTTATTCATCAAGGGCATTCACTGTCTCTCTTTCTATCTCTCTGCCCCATCTCTCAAATGCACCTCCAGCACACATGCATATCCACTCCCACTGGCAAATACATATTTTAAGAACCCTCCAATGCTTTGGTTCAGACTTTCTCATAATGTATTTGTAAACAAACACTTCTCTGAGTTTGGCAGTAATATATTTTACTTATTTACTTTTATTATTTGTGGTACTGGGGATTGCACCCAAAGGTGATTTACCACCGAGTTACATCCCCTGCTATTTTTATTGATTTATTTATTTTGAGACAAACTCTCACTAAATTCCCCAGGCTAGCCTCAAACTTGCAGTACTCCTGCCTCAACCTCAAGAATACCAGAGATTACAGGTATCTGCCACCTCCTTGGCAGTAGTATATTTTAAGTATGAAAAACATAAAAATATAGAGGAAACATTAAAAATGAAAAAAAATTTATTATCCATGTATGATCTTCCTTTTATCCTTTCCCTACATTCCTTTTATTGGCCATTCCTGTGTTCAAAACCAAATGATTAAATAAGGATTATATTATAAAAAGGTTTTATTCACTATAACCTAAAATGTAGCCCATAACCTTTCTTCCTCTGCTTCCCAAAGGTTCCTCCTTTCTAGGCTCTGAACACTCAGTTTGGGATCAGGGCATATATTCCAATATTGTCAGGATCAGTAATGCATTAAAAGATAAGATGAAACATTATCAAATTTAATGTTCTATTTATAGAAAAGAATAAGACTTCTGTCGATCCATTATAAACTACAAATCTATTCATTGCTCTAATTTTCTAAATATACCAGTTAGGTTCTGACTTTTAAATTAAATATAATAATATGAACTTAATTTATATTATTAATGCAGGCTAAGATATAGAGTCATATACCAAATGAAAAGACCATTATGGAGTAGATTATCAACAAATTTTATTACTGCATCTAAGAACTTATACCAACAATTTGAATGAGAAATAATAAAAGACTTAAAGCATGACTAATTTTTTCTAGTAAAAGTATTATAAATTTTTGACAATGATCATTATACAATATCTCTTTCTTAGAAGCAATTTTAGACATTTGGATAACACTAGAATATTCCATTTCATGATTAAATATTTATTAAATAAACAGTACCTTTTTATTTCCTCCAAACACTTTAAGTAAATAAATGCATAAAAAAAAAAACATGAGAAATCATTCTTATCTGAAAGCCCAGGTACTATTCTGGCAACAAAGACCTGTACTACCTTATTAGTTGTCCCAGGATAACTTAACATTTTTTTTTCCTTCATTCTTCTCTGAAGCTCCTAAATGTGTATGTAAATTTGTTGTCAACTATCATAATGGTTAATCCAACAAGTGGATTATCTATACCAAAAGCATTATTTTCTTTAAACTTTTCATTATTTTCCCAATCCTGTTTATGATCACCACCATTATCTTTCTTCAACAGAGTCCCATACCCACAACCCAAACATTTGAGTAAAAATATTGCTTTAATATTTCCATATTACATATTCCAATCTAGTCAAATGTTGTGTTAGTCATGATTTGCCTGGTTCTGATTTCCTCCTTGCATATTATATGCTCATAATTTTATAGGCATTTTTTAAAGATATATCTATGGAAACCATGTTAGTCACACATAACTGAATAACAGAAGAAAACTTATACCAAAAAGTCTGAAATAGAGGGAGACCTGAAAGAAGTAAACAGTTTGGTTTGGTTTGCATATAAAGAGGAAATATTGAAATGCATATGCAATTAGGAAATCTCCAGAAAACACAATATAGAGCTTAAGTTCATCTGCTATAGTTGAAATACTTTCAGTCTTTCTAAGAGTGAGTCACACCTTTGGAGGAGTGACTTGAGAAGCCATTCTAACTGAGTGTAAGTAAGTAATCTAAGTGTGTAGGGCTTAAAGCGCCACCTACCATACTATCAGTGGTTGGGTGAGAAGGTACACTCTGCTTCAAGAAGTTGAGTATATGATAACCAACGGTGACCTGACAAGATTGTATTGGAAGCTAAGTGAGTAGTTGAACAGAAAATCAACAGCTACAGTGAGATTAAGAATCTATAGCATTTTAGGTGAAAACAGGAGGGATTTCCTCTGATCACACCAGTCATATTGCTAAAATGTACATGGTTTGAGAATGTCTAATGTGAAAAATGATAGTGAATATTTCCTTGCTCAGTATGAATACTAAATATGGATAAAAATAGAATTACTTATTAAAAAACCCACATCACACTGATTTTTCATCTATACCCAGAGTGCAATTAAAATGCATTCCTTTAATATAAAGTCATACTATTTTCATCTCATTGTTTCTTTTTGCTTCAAAGTAGCAGTTATTTATTTTTTGCTAATTTTTTAAAATTTGTTTTTAGACTGGAGATTCACAATTTTTAAAAATGACAAAGATGAGAACCACAAATTTAGATGTAAAGTAAACCTTGTGCTAATTAGTATGACTATTCAGGGGATTAAGCTGTTGATTTCATGAAAACAGTTAGTAATGTGAATTATTCTTCAAATCCCAAGAAATCTACGGTAGAGCCATCCATGGGCTGTGTGTGGACTGCTGTGCATAATAGCCTAATTAGGGGATAGGCTGGTATTGCAAACTCCCTGTAGCACCCCCTCAGGGATTGATCACCTGGTGCAGGTGAACCTCCCCCTCAAGTTCTGCCTAAGATCCCACACAGCACCTGAAATGGATGACCTGCCAATATGTCAAACAATCTGTTGACAAAAAGACATCAGGAAGCAAGACTCCACCCTTGAAACCTTACCCCTGCCTTTGATGTACCCCCTTAAGTAATCCATCAGAGCATTTTTTCTCTGTCTAATTCAATAACCCATGTGAACTAGATCTATCAGGGGCTTAACTTTTGTAAATATATTTCTGAATGTTTGTTTTTATTATTTGTTAATTATTTGAGATATTAAGATTTAGGGTGGCCATTTAGGTTGGCTGGGATTCCTCTGGGTAGAAGAAACCCCCCAATGAGATGCTGGCCATCCTCCTCTCAAAAATCTACCTCTCAAACAATTGAAAACTGAGAATGTTTTAATATGTGCACAACTTGAATGTTATTTGGGTAAATCAAACTAATTTACCTATCCTAAGAGTAATCACTTTAGCCAAGCAAAGCACATAAGAAATTCACAGTATTTGCTACTACTGAGATCAACTAGATAACAGGACAATATTCATGAGATAGTTAATTATGTTCCCTGAATGCTGAACAAATATTGAGTAAACACATGAAAAGTTAAACAAAAAAGAATGAAATAGCTTTTCTGAAACTGCAAAATTTTAGGAGAGAATTTTGTTCATTTTTTTTCCCTTTGAACTGAAAGAATTCCACAGAGAGAGACATGTTCTAACTCTCCTTATGTGGTATTCAAGTTCAGATTTTTTCAATATCGAAATCCATAAGCCATATTTTGATCATTGTGGACATAACATGTCTGATCTCCCTAAAGAGCCTGCAGACAAATATCTTTCTAAAATGACTGACTTACTATCAGGGAATGACTGAAGAAGCAAAACACCAACTCTATTATCCTTACTCACTCATTTCAGATGAAATAGTGGTGGGTATAATAATGCAATTTTCAATTAAAATACTAATACTGAAACCACTCATGGCTTTTACTTCGACCCTTGGAGATCTTGTCTAAAAGGAAATTTTGCTGTCTTTGTATTGCTAGATTTGTATTTATTCAAGAGTTTAGAAATAGAATTAAATAGAATTCAAATCTTATGTTGGATTTTCTACCAAAGTGCAATGCAATTATTAAACAGCAAAGTTTATCCAATGCCACTTCTGTAAGCTTATTTTAGTTAAGGTAACTTATTGTTCATAGCTACTAACCTTTAAAACTTAACTACAAATTAACACTATTCATTTCTCTGGTGTGTTTCGTTTTTAATTTAATAAAAGAAATTCCTGCCGGCTCTAAAGGTCAGACTAAAAGCAGCCTTACCATCATCGTATTGGCCAAAGCAAGCTGCAAAGAGAGAGCCAATGATGATCCCCGAAGCTAAACATTTCCAGAGAAAAAACTGTTGCAACATCTTCCGTCAAAATCCACTCAAGGTTGATCTAAAATAACAAGAGGGAGAAAGATCATTTGATATGTTCATTAATCTGTTATAGGTAAACAAAACTGTCACAGCACTGAAAAGCCTTAATGACTTCATAGTTAATTACCTGTGCCACGCTATCCATTAACAAAGTAACACACTTGTTTAATGCACTGGAACCTTTTATCAACATGAATTTGCAGACAAGAAATCTCTAAGGAAAGACATCTTTTCTGTTACTTAATTTGCAAGCAAATAGTTTGAAAAATTAACATACAAATGACATTAGAAACAGACCTTCTTTAAAATTGAGACCTTACAGATAAATCAAATGTTAATCAGTTTAAGTTGCTAAACTTACATTGTCTATAACATAATTCAGCTATAAATTGTAAGTTGCTCTACAACAATTTAAGATAGTAAATTAGCTGATAGTTTTTTACATGAAAATTTCAATGAAAATTTATCTTACATGATTAAATAGAAAAAAATCATTAAAATGCTAATTCCTTTCTGGTGCAATGATCAGAGATTGATTTAACTATGCCAAGAAATACTAAGGACAAACAGTCAGTTTTTAATACAATTGTCTTTTGTAGTATTTTTGAGGAATTTAATTTTAATTTTCTTTTTTTTTTGTCCTTTGCAAATTCTAAGTTAAAAAAAAAAAGCTGATTGAGAAATCAGTAGCCAGTTAACACACCAGAAAATCTTATTGAAATCATTACATGCTCAGTTTCTTCATAAATTGAGAAAATTATTCACACAGAATTGCACAAAATACTCCTGATTATAGAATGTAGAAGAACAGGAACATGAACTCTGTTTCTCTGATTCAGAGGTTCCAAACTCAAATGCCTACAGAGGACAGCAAACAAAGGGAAAACATGAATTGGCCCACACGGACAATAGGGTTGGTAGAGGCTGTGATAAACGGGAATAAGGGTTTGTCTAAAGAGACCAGCTGGTGCTCAACTTCTGTCAATGGTTGTCATGGGGGAATGCAAACCAGTGTTGCCAGGTCTACTGATTTTCCAGGAAAAGGCAGACATCCAAGTTTTTATGTGATTGCCCAGTATTTAGATGATTGTGCAATGCTCTTTATAAGACTAAATGTTTCTGGCAGATCATATTGATGTCTGAGTTTCTCCAGTTCCTACTTTTGCACAGGATTCTCCCTTCGCTAGACTAGTGTGGATAAAGTTCATCAGAGGACACAGAGGAACGATTTTAATTTTGTTTCTATCTTGTCTTTTATTTTTGTTTATTTATGCTAGTTTTATAATGCTTATTTATACAACACACATACAATTTATATATGAATCTATATAACAGATTAAATCATATTAAATGTACAAGTTCTAAGGGTTTTAATTCACAGGAGGCACAATTCTTGAATTGCACAAATCACAACACTAGATCATGCACATTTAATACAGAACCTATTTTTGTGTGTGTGTTTTACCAAAAAGGGAAACAGGTCTTCTTTAACCTGCCCACCCCTACCACACACCTTTTTCATAACTGATGAAGTGCTCTGCCCCTGATAACTCCTAAGCCCAGACAGTGTAAAGAATAATTCATTAGATGTCAATAGAAAACAACATTTCACACTTTCCTGTTTAAAAAAGGAGAGAAAGAAAAAAAAAAACAACAACAGCAACAAAATTGACCAATGCTAGTGGTTAAAGCAAGGAGAGTGTAAGAATATGGCTTCTTTTTAAGTCCAAGCTCTTCAAATTAACTATTTAAGACCTTGAAGAAGTTAAATAGCATGTCTCTCACTTTAATCATATTTCAAGTGGAGATAAAATAGTACATAATTCATAAGATTGTTTTGAGACTTAAACAAATAAGCATATATGAATGTATGACTAGGAAAGTGCCTCAGAGTGTGCACACCACAATAGCTAATAGGAGTCATTTTTGACTCAGCATTTCCCCACTCTTGAAAGTGTTCAAATATATATTTTCTCTGTCTTTAGCAAAGTCTCTAAGGTAGATACCATCCATCTTCTTGGTGAAGAAAAGCCATGCTCTTAGAGGATGTCATGGCTCAAAGTTTTAAACTGACAGGTGCTGAAAAGGCTCGAAAGTTGGTGAGTCTGAAACCTTGGTCCATTCCATCACAGAAAAGGACTAGAGACTTTCCCAGAGGATACTGGCCCAGAATGTTTCCAAGGGTATGAGAGGTCTAGAATGGAAGGTATACAGTTCCCCTGAATTCTAACAGAGACTTATTTCATGTCCTTTTCTGAAGGATTAGACCCTGATCAAGAACTATGCAATTAATTGCTTCAACTCTTTTTTCCCCTCCAAAAATGGCATCATTAAGGATCAACAACAAATAAAAGGTGTTTAAACACTAAAAGAGGAAATACTGTCATGATATTTATTAGAAAAAAAATTAGAGACAAAATACTGTCATGGCAAAGGACAAAAGAATGAAGTCATGTTCCTTTGTGGGTTCTAATTATACTGACTTGACTTCCATTTAATTACTCTATTTTGAATATTATGTTCTCACAGATGCTGGTTGGTTTTATTTCAGACTCACACCGAGTTGGTTTCATTTCAAAGCCACAAGATTGAAACAACTGTATAGGTCATCATTTTAAAATCACTGATGTCACTGATGTTAGTTTGCCTCCAAGAACAAAACCACCAGATTTGAGATTCTGAACATTTTTAATAGAAGATTATTTATACTTTGGAAAACAGCACTTAAAAAGCTCCTACATAAAATACCTTTTCCAAAAGAAAAAACTGACTATTCACTTATAGAATTAGTGAATACCTTGAGGAATAAGATAACTCAGGAGATTATGAGACACTTGTTTTGAATAATACAAATATAATACTTTTATACATTTTTTATTGTTATATTTTATATACTTTAACTCTAAAGCAATTTGAATCACTTCAATAGGCTCAACATGTATAACAATTTTAAAGAAAGCCATAACTCATAATGTCAACCAACCTAATACCCAAAAACATAAAGAAAACCCCATTTTCTACATGATGATAAAATGCAAAGGTACTTCCTAGAAAGAGCCTGTGTTTCTCCAGTCAAAATAATATGTAATCAATGTGCCAATCAGATAGTAGTTCATTTTACAATGTTACTTCTGCCATGAAGAAAGTTGGAATAGGTCAAATCCTTTAGAGGAGAGACTGTTTTAATTAATAGCTTTACTATTCCTAGAACTGTATAAATATGTTCTACAAGAAATTAAACTCAGTCTCTTAGAGAGTGTATTTATACAAATCAAAGACATTGCAAACAATGTTTATAGTGTTATACCTAATTTTTAGGTATAGGCTATACCAATTTTTATAAACCCCATGTCAAATTGTTGTCATGTTCTCTAAATACAGATTTTTCCTCCTGATCTCTGTAAAAAAACACTGTTAAGTTCTAGAAATCAAAAGCATGCCCAGTTCCAAAAAAGAATGTGGGTGGGTAACCTATAAAAATGTTAACTGTATTTTGTTTTTATGAAGCAATTGGGATATTCAAAACTCTGGTATAGAAAATAGATATGACTTTTAAATACTGATATGCAAATAATATTTATAAATATCAATATATTGGGATAAAGTAGCTTTCTCAGTTATAATCTTATAGGTAAGAGATTGAGTTTCACATTTAACTTATATGTTTTCCTTACTCTAAAAAATATTTTGCTACAATTACTCAACACACAATACAATAGTTTGAATTTCACATATTTTGTATTCCCTAGATGATAAAGTTTATTATTATTTATTAGGTATTTTATATGCTAAGAAATGTATTTACCCAATAGGGTCCACAAAGTAGCATTTGGTCTTCTAGACAGCTGGAAATATCAATGAACAAAGTGACTAATTTCTCTGTTCTAATAGATCTAATATTCTAGCAAAATGAAAATAAAACACAATAAACATAACATATTAAATGTGTACAAAGGTAATAAGTGACATGAATACACTTGCTAGCATTTTCAAAACATTTATATTATTATGTTACACTTAATTATCATTCAATAAAGAAAGTTCAGACTACCCAAAACAAAATGTTTTCTGATAATGTAACTTAAGGAGAATCTTTTAAGGAAAGCATAACTGTGCTAATAACTCAGTGAGAGTATTCTCCACAGAATCTGCTGTCCAAAGGTGAGATTCCTGTTTGTTTCTTGGAGAAAGAATAAAGGTCTTTCACTATCTTCTACTTTTGAGTATAAACCCAAAGCCTGGCAGTACAGAAAGCTATGCTTTTGTACTTTCGTCCTTGTTCTCTGCATCTGGGGTGGCCATGGTGACATATGACAAAAGTAGCCAAGGCCGACACCTCAGCAGTCTTCCTTCAAATATGCTTTCAGCAATGTTAACTATCATTTTAGCTTCTGTCCCTGAGAGCTATGTGAAGCACCACTAATTTTCTCTGAAGATAGCGAGCTTGGAGCCCACTGCCATTATCTTGATGAGAAATTCCATACCAGCAAGCAGGAGTCTCAGCCAAGTAGGAGCTGTCCATAGGCAGTCTGCCCTTCAGCAGTCTGCTCAGTCAAACCCCAGCTACTTCTGATCTCTGACAAAATCTAGATAGAGCTATAAAAATAAAACTTGTCACTGCTCTGTATGTCTTGTGAGAAATATATGCTATCCACATGACAGAATAAAGTGAAGGTCCTTTCAATGCAACTTCAACTATCAAAAAACTGAAAACATGAAGCTTTCCAAAGTTACCATATCTCACCAGACCAAACATGAATTTCCTGAACTGACTGCCTGGAAATCTGCTTTGTACTGCAGCATGGAGGGAAACATCAATAATGGCTCCATGGCTTCAGGGATACTTATCACTCTTCAGCCTGACCCAATGAATCATCTTCTTCTTTTTTTTTTTCTTTTACAATATAAACTTCAGGAAAGTAAACTTTGAGAAATTCTTTCAGACATATTCCCTCCTTCTAGATCATTTTATATCTTTCCATTACTGTATATTTATGTATAAATTTATATTATTTATTC